AAGATTAATCTATAGTGACAGCAAGCAATGCTGTGATTGTCTGGGGCTGGGTGTAGCCAGGGTTGACTATGAAGGAGCACAAGGGAACTTTCTGGAATGATGAAAATGTTATATATCTTGATTGTGGTGGTGGTTACGCAGTTGTTTATATTTGTCAAAAGTCTCTGAACTACACATTTAAAATAGGCAGATTTTGTTGCAAGTAAATTATACCTCAACTAAAAAAAAAATGCATTCTGAGAAAAAATTAAAAAGCTAAATTATAAATACTTAAAAATAAATCAAACACAAAATCTGTAAGACCTGAACACAGAAAACTTAAAACTCTACGGAAGTACATTTAAAGAAGATGTTGTTGTTATTTGCCGTTGAGTTGGCCCCGACTCATAGCAACCCCTCCTTGGGTTTCCGAGGCAGTATCACTACCGAAGTAGGATTGAAAGAAGATACATTAAAAAAAATGGAAAGATAGGAAGACTTAATAATATAAAGATACCAATTCTCCCCAAATATATCTGTAGATTTAATGCAACTCTATTAAAATGCGAAGAGACATTGTCTACAGAACTTGACAAGTTTATTCTAAAATATATTTGGAAGAGCAATGGGCTAAGGTAAAAATACTTGTAAAGAAGGTGAGTAAGGAGAGCCTTGCCCTACTAGGTACCAAGACTTACTATAATGCTGTTATAAATAAGATCCTATGGTATCAGTACAGGAATAGACCACCTGACCCATGAAAGAGAGAAAAGGAAAAAAGCCTATTTATGAAAATATCAAACTTATATGTGATAGAATTAGCATGACGGATCACTGGGAAAAAGAAAACTATTCAACAAATTCATGAATTATATGGACAAAATAAAAAAGATCCCTATCTTGTTCTACATATAAATAAATTACAGAGGGACTACACACTTCCGTGTCAAAAGCAAAACTTTAAAACTGCTAGAAGAAATCTAAGTAAATATTTTTTTCTGATCTTAGGCTAGAAAATAAGACACCAATAAAATACATATAAGACACAGGAGTGCTAATCAAAAAGCTGCAGCCTTTCTCAACACTTCTTCTTATAAACTGGAAGCGGCCCACATCCCCACGGCAGCTGCTCAGCTGATCCAGTAGATTACACCGTGGAGTTGACGACCAACCTCACCACTGGGAATAACTACACCCAGCTGCCCAGCCACTCAAAACCAGGCCCGGCCAAGTTGACACATACAGATTGATTTGAACACAGGAAAATTAGAAATTCTATTCAACAAAAACACTCTAAAAGGTGTGCAAAAACCAAGTAAAAGGTGGGAGATGTTAGCAACTCATATAACAGACAAAGGATTAATACCAGTGACATAGAAAGAACTATAAATCAATTAGAAAAGACTAACAAATGAATGAAAA